AAAGAAAGAAAGAAAGAAAGAAAGAAAGAAAGAAAGAAAGAAAGAAAGAAAACCAGCAGGGTAAAGAAACACCTGAGCTAACAATGAATGTCAGGAGACACTGACTGCCAGGCTCAGCGATGGTGACAATCTTCCTGCTTACTAAAGGCCCTTAGAGCCATGGCGAGAAAGGACAAGTTGCTGGTCAGAGACTCATGGAGCAGCCTGCCATGGATGGCTAGTTGGTTAGTATACGGGGTAGGGGTGGGGCTGAATTAAACAATGGGAAATTAATGGCGGAACTGTTCAACAGTGACGGGGGCACTAAGCATTTCATGGTGGTCTGACGCAAAGCAGTCACCAGGACACTGAGGACAATGCACATGTCAGGAGTTAGAGCAGAGACTACGAATCAAGACATTACAACCAGAACTCTCCCTACAGCTTTTCTTGTTACTCTAAGCAAATTTACCTACCTGTGGATGTCACCATATCAAAGACAAGGGAGTGACTCCCATCTAAGGATTCCCATGGGCACTAATGGCTTCAGTGTTGCTGTCAATAACATATTAACAGAGCAATGGTGAGATGATGTCTGAGTAACTTAGGGTAATAGCGACCAAACCTCATTTCCTACAAAGCAGATAACAGAACAGCAGGACAGCGGTCTTGTTTTGTTTTGATTAAAAAAAAAAAACAAAAAACAAATCAAAGGCACATGGGTTCAAATGACAATTCTTGTTATTTTTTCATTTTGTGACCTGGGGAAGTCATTTCCCCAGTGGTGACCTTGGTAACCTTGCCAACTACAATGTCCCACATTCACCTTCCCAAACACACGTCCAGTTGCGTCCAGTTGCGACTCCAAATGTGACCTTATTTAGAAATAGTCTTTGTGCTGGGGAGACAGTTCAGTGGGCAAAACACCTGCCACACATACATAAGGTCTCAGTAGTCTGGCCTATGCAGCAAACCGGAAGAAGACCCAGTGTGAAACACAGCCGTATGTGACGGCTACAGTGTGTTCTAGCTTGTAATTGCTCATACTTACACACACGCTCTGACACACACACAGACACACCAGGAGCTGAAAGAGGCAAGGGAGAGTTCTCCTCTGGGATTTGGGAAGGAACATGACCCTGCAGATGCACTGATTTAAACTTCTGGCTTCTAGAAACAGCAGGAGATACATTTCTCTCACAGTTTGTTCTCTTCTGTTCTGAGACAGGATCTCATTATGCAGCCCGGCTCAGTTTGGAACTGAGTATGTAAACCAGGCTGGTCTCGAACTCAGACACCTACCTGCTTCTGGAACTAAAGGGCTGATATGAATGACAGATCAGAGAGCAAAAGAATGAAGGAAGCAAAAGTGTTGGGAGGCCATTGTTGTGGACGGAGCTGTCACGCCAGGCCCTCTGAAGACCGGAGCACATCAAATGGAGTCGCTCATGATAAATGTCACATGATTAAACTGGCTGCAAGGAAGCGGACAGACCTCAGAACAGACGAGTTTTTTCTGAAAACAGGACACTCCAGTCTACTTGAGTCAGTGTAATAATCCATATGACTTTGAGAAAACAATCTTTTAATCCTTAAAAGAAAGTAAGAAAGCTTTAGTAACCCGAAGGTCACCAACCGGCTTCCCCACTGCAGTTTCCTGGCTCCATCCTACAGATCCTCTGTGTGACAACACCTGTGAGCTACTGTCCCCATCTGTAAGAAGGAGATGCCCCCATCCACAAAGCCAAGCAAAAATCAATTAAACTTGGTTTTGTTGTTGTTTTTCGAGACAGGGTTTCTCTGTAGAGCCCTGGCTGTCCTGGAACACCAATTATACTTGTGACTAAGGTTGTTACGATGCTGTCTTTGGGTAAGCACCTTGTAAAACGGTACAGGGTCCACACAGAAAATGACGTCATGGCCTCGAGAGCAGCTGTGTTGGGGGGTCATTCTGTAGAAAGCAGAGGGAGTATGGGAATTCTCAAATGAGAATAGTCTGAGGAACCTGAGGCAGGGAGTGGCCACATCAGCCTCTGGCCTGGGAAATCAATCACTGAGGATGGCTTGCACAGCAAAAGCTTTGGATGGGGAGTCAGCGCACATGGGTGGGTATGTGTACCCCACTTCACTGAGGTTATCTTCTGGGGCTCAAGTGGCTCTAATGAATGCTACTTCTTTTACATCTAATGGTCTCCCACCCCTGAGGGTGGGGACAGGAATTTCCAGCCCTCCCCCTTTTTGAGACAGGGTCTCACTATGCAGCCCTAGATGGCCTGGAACTCACCACTCAGGCCACACTGGCCTCAAACTCACAGAGACCCACCTGTCTCTGTCTCCTGAGTGCTGGGATTGAGTCTGCACCACCACACCAACAGCTCTCTACATTTGTAAATAAATAAATAAATAAATAAATAAATAAATAAATAGGATTTTAACACAGCAAGGACTGGCTGAGGCAGAACACAGCCGACAAGACAGACTATCACTGGCAAGATTACTTAAAGGGCAAATTGGCAATATATATTAAGACCAAAGCTATGCCCAACCTTGGAGCTAAGGATGCCCCTTCTGGGAATGTGCTCAAGGAACTGATTAGGAAGCCAAAATCCCTTCTCGGATCAAGATTCTCATTGCCATTCCAACATGGCCTTTCAAGAAGGTGTGTGTGAAGTCTTTGATAGGTTATCATATTGCAGTGGTTATTAGATCATCACAAAGAAATGATATTAAAAGTGAAGATTTTATTTTTGAGGTGCTGGGATTTGCACACAGGGCCTTGTCCGGGCACCTTACCACTGAGTTATGCTATTTCCTGTGCCCTGGGAATTCTTTTATATTATGTTAAGACAAAAGTACATAGTTGTGGAAAAACATTCCACAGAATTTAGTGCCAGGGCTGCAGAGGTGGCTCAGGGATTATGAGCATTGGCTATTCTTGTAGAGAACACAGGTTCAACTCCCAGTCCCTACATGAGGTTCATAGCTGTCTGTAACTCCAGTTCTAGGGGATCCAACACCCTCTTCTGCCTTCTGAGAGCACCTTAAAGTGTGTGCATGCACACACACACACACACACACACACACACACACACACACACACACGATTAAAGTGTTAACCATGACTGCCTCTGGGTAAGCTGGAGACAAGCCTGCTATTTATTTCCTACCATCTTACATGTGTTTCCTGTAGCTTTTGTAACCAGGGAGAAAATGGTCAAAGAGAAAATGGCTTGAAGACAGCACACAGGCTGGGTCAGGAGGCTGCGGAAGTATGTGAGGGAGAGCCTGGACCTGCTGAGCTGCCTCCCTGGCAGTTCCTGCACAGGGCTTGACTCGGTGGGAGGCAGGTGAGCTTGAAGCTCCTCGCTGACTCTTCTCCCAGTGGCCACGTCTGGCTGCACGCAATGTTGACTCACCCTGTGTACACACATTATTGCTCTTTAAAGTGTGTCAGGAATGTGAACCAACTTGCACTGAAAAATAGCAGAAGCTGTTCTACCTCTGTACAAACTCATATGCCGGGTCAGAGAAGGCCAGAAGAACAACTCTGGAAGGAGTCTATTTGAGAAGGCCTTTACTTGTGTTCCCCCTGGCCCAATCCTCTGGATAAACAGGGTAGAGCTACCAAGGAAACATTCTTCCATGACCGGCCAGGGATGTCTGGGCCCTTGACACATTGCTAGGTCACCAGGCAGAGCCCCTGTGGTCTGCCTGTGGGTCTGAGAGCAGTCATCACTAGAGCCCCAACAGAGGCAGCTCCCACTGGTTCTACACTCGGACAAGAAAGGGCTGTGGTGAATAGGAGAGCCTTCCCTACCCTGCCACTCAAGTTGGAAGCAATGATGGATCACTGTAGCTAGACTGCAAAGGTACCGTTTCCTGGGGTACGCTCTGGTGTGCTGCTGAGACGGAGGGCCAGTGTTCACCACCCCGGGTCACAGGTCCCACAGCGAGGCTCACAGTGCTCTACCGCACAGATTCAGGAATCTAGCAACACCATGGATGGAAAAACTTCACTCTGA